AGCCAAAGAATGGTGGGGATGACTAACTTCCATTTGAGCTTTAAGTAGTGTTCACTCTGTCTTATCCACCGACATGGACATATCACTGTTGGGTTACAAGAATACGATGAGGGAAGAGGACCCCTACCAAATCAAGGGTGAAGGGGGGTTCTAAGAAGGGGTGGGTAGCGAAAGAATGATGAGGATGACCAACTTCCATTTGGGCTTCAAGTAGTTTTCACTCTGTGTCTTCCACCTACATGGGCATACCACTGTTGGGTTACGAGAACAAGAACACGAGGAGGGAAGAGGATCCTTACCAAACAAGCTCACGGTCTAAGAGGACTCATAAAATGCCTCCCTGAACTGTGCTCCACCAGCTGTCCCAGTCACTCTACACTCCTCCTCTTTACAATGCACACAAGGGTTGGTGGAACCTACAATGAAGATGGCCTCGGAGGCCATTCTTATGCCATGGAGGAAAGGAATGTTTTGGGTGAAAGTCAAGACTCGTCCAGCACCGCATCATCGATGGAAAAGTCCAACCAGAAATGTGAAGAGAAGAATGTTGGAACATTGAAGGACCTTTTTGTCTGGAGACATCAGAGAATACAGACTGGTTTACGGGAGTACCGAATCTCTTGTAGATGGGGCAGTTCAACATCACGAGATTCTCTTAGGAGTCCTGGGGAGCATTGCTATTTTTTTCAGGCCAGTCCCCAGGCTTCACCTATATATCTTTAATTGACATGCAGGTCCTTGTGGTCATTGGTAGACACAATAGCCAAGACGCCCACCATCATTCAACCCAATATCCGTTAACCCCAGACACTTTTAGATGCCTCCAGGCTCATGGCGTGATGTGCGGAGTCTTCTTCTTTGAATCTCCCTTCAATGTTGTCACACTGGGAGCACAGGGTGATGAGGTGACTCTCCCATAGGTGGCAGGTCCATGGCACCCTACACCGTGTGACCTCCATTCACCCTGAGAGATTGAGGGTACCTAATGGCGGAAAGGAAATACTGGGAACAGGGCTGGTAAAGAGGTGAATACTGCAGGTAAGGGGGTGAATGCTGGAGGTAAGGGAGTGAATACTGCAGGTAAGGGGGTGAATGCTGGAGGTAAGGAGGTGAATACTGCCGGTAAGGGGGTGAATGCTGGAGGTAAGGAGGTGAATACTGCAGGTAAGGGGGTGAATGCTGGAGGTAAGGAGGTGAATACTGCCAGTAAGGGGTGAATGCTGGAGGTAAGGAGGTGATTGCTGGAGGTAAGGGGGTGAATGCTGGAGGTAAGGAGGTGAATGCTGGAGGTAAGGGAGTGAATGCTGGAGGTAAGGAGCGGAATGCTGGAGGTAAGGGGGTGAATGCTGCAGGTAAGGAGGTGAATGCTGGAGGTAAGGGAGTGAATGCTGGAGGTAAGGAGGGGAATGCTGCAGGTAAGGAGGGGAATGCTGCAGGTAAGGGGGTGAATGCTGGAGGTAAGGAGGGGGAATACTGCAGGTAAGCGGGGTGAATACT